GAAATATATGTGATAGCTATGGCAAACTGATATAGTTATATCATAACATTTGATATAATTTCGTGAAAATGTATATTGCAGCAACCCTGGATCAAAGGAATTTCAATACTTGGGGTGAACATTCATGAGGCCCAATGGAGTATGTAAATATCATAATTCACATATGTATTTATTTATACAATACCTTTATTCAATCTCCATAGATTTTCAATCTTCATAGATTTATATTGGTTAAATTAAAGCATTTGACTGCATGACAAATTAATATTTAATATATTTGTTCTCATGAATAAAATATATATTCATAAGCATGCGGTCATAAATCTGGGCTATGAAAATCACGGCAGTTTGTAAAACAAATGGGATCACAACCACCGTGATTTCTCACCAGCTTGCGCTCACGTGCAGACTACAGTAATTATAATCACCTCCGCTTGTCATGCCCGGCGATGTGCCGAGTAACATTGACATGAGTGTATGTTGAGGCATATTTAATAATATCCATGTATACACTCAAATGTTGCACGCCTTGAGTTTTTTTTTGAGAGGCAGAGCGAGAAAGACACGTGGATAACATGACCCGGTGTGACATCATTCAAACTGTTATGACGAGCTCGTGGGCTTGAGCAAGACGCGTCGCTGCGAGAGATGATGGGAGGCGGTCGATAATAATGACCGCATTGGTGCCAATTAATAGAACACATCTGAGAGGGCGTCCACTGAGGAGATGGAGCAATGCAATGATCTCGTGTTGCAGGTGCCACGCAAGCTATGACATCGCAGGGTCGTCATTGGTGGTGGCAGTTTAGGGGGGCCGTGAAACAGCCGTGGATGATGACGAATGACAATTATTCATGCAAACCAATAAGAGTATATTACGATCGAAAAAGTGAAATAATACACGAGACGGTTTTCCGCGACAATTTCTGACACTGAAAGAGCTAAGCTGAGCCACGCTTCATCTCCTGCCCATTCGAGGAATTCTTACGATTCAGCGTTGCGATCATATTTCAGAATCAATTCTTTTGCACAGCATTCACCGTCTCATTTACACCATTTCGCCGTTGTATTCGTTCCAATAGCCTAAATGCACCATTACAATATAATTCGCGCTGTAATTTGCATACGCAGTCAATAACGAATTGCGATCAGATGCGGCACGCAACGTGAGCATAAGAATCAATATTGATAAGCAAATCATTACATCGCCATTGCCCCGTTGTTGTGTAGATCCTGTGCCGTACAGGTGGAGAGGCGTCTCCTGCTATTGCATCGATCCGCCAGCCCAGAGCCTGACCAGCAAGGGCATTGGGAGCGGAATGATAATTTTCCCAAAAATCCCTCCCAGGTCCGCCATTTGGGAAGCCCTGTGCAACACGACGGGCACGTCTGCAGGACCCTCGCCACTCTCAAACTGAAGATGGCGCAATTGCACCATTACCATTTACCTCTTGTGTTGCCCAGAGGCAAGCATAACTCTGAAGAGTCTATTGTTGATGGATGGTCTGTTCTCATATTGACATTACAGATCCCTCCATCAAGTAGCATCCAAATATTAATTGAGCAAAAGATATTAAATTGTGATTATGCATAGAAATCATCGCACCCGTCCTGTGAAAACTTGGCATGACCCTTCTGAAAAGGAGTCAAATATTATTCATAGCGATAATAATATATTTGACTTCAGCGTCCAATACAGACAAGACTTACGGATGTGAATAAGGACTGTATATTGTTGCATACAAGACATCTCATAATTACCAGCCTTCTGCATAATTGGATAACTTTTTATGATTTGCGACTGTGATTTGATTCAAGAATATATTTGGTATCACGGGTTTAATGGCTCATATTGTTTCTGTTTCGTATAGTCTCATGAATTATATCGCTGAAAGGTATAACGGTCAGATAATTTACATACATCTTAAGACGTTAATTATTACGCGTTAGATTCCTTGCGTGCATAATTAGTGTGAAAACCTTTAAAATCGATTAATCATTATATGCCCTTTAGCTATATAACAAAACGGAACTATGGTGCCTCATAGTGCAGGGGATATGAAAACCACGGAATAATTATATTATCAAATATTAATTTGAAATAGATTAATCAATGCTAAAATTAGGTATTTTGTGCGTTAATTTAGGGCGATGTGAAAACTCTTGTTTTCCTTCTTGTCATTTACAAATGTACAGATTAACAAGTATGCCACTCTTTTGGTAAAAGAAACACATTTCAGTGATTAAAATAGATTTATTTTCACAATTCTCGTTAAAGCGTAGAGAATTGTAAAAATCACCTATTTTAATTGTACCCTTTGCAGTATTGACTTTGTTAATGATACACAGCGAAGACATCAAATACACTTTAAAGAGCCCACAAAACAGTATGGTGGGATTATATTCACATGCAATATTTTTTTTCATGGTAAAAACTCACGGTGGAAAGTATGTTTGTTTTCTCTGTCACTTTTAATTTGATCAGCAAATTGTACAACATGTTTGTTACACCTCACCCTATTTTTAATAGGCATGTGTGTGACTCCACTAAATGCCATGGCTTGGCTTATGCCATGTTAAACTGCTCACATTAATTACACTCTTTCGCACTGCAATTGGCAATCACTGCAATAAACGTGTTTGAAATCGGACAGTCGTACTTGTCACCGCAAAATAGAATGAAGGTGCTTGGCCACCTGAGATTAAACTTACACACTTCATGTGTCGCAAGATGAGCATCTCAAGCCCGGTAACTGCAACAAAAACTAAAACGGCTGCATGCCCTGTACACGTTTAATGTAGATGTGCAGGGCATACAACTCTTCTCAATTTGCACCGAAGACCCGCGGTTTCATGGACAGTGCAGCACTGCGATGTTATCATACGGCACCTGCTATGCTCCGTTTTATATATGCATATTTATTTTAGAAAATACCCTCATAGATACGGGGTTTTTTTCCCCCAAAAGGAAGGGTTAGGCTCTTCCTAGCATCTTCATACAATCGTGTGAATAACAGGAACAACCACACCTGTCAGTCAGTCAGTTGACTGAGTTTGATTATCGGCTACAGCTAACATCAGTGGCGAGTAATATCTAAACCAATCATGGGCCCTCCCATTCACCAACCTGCACTGCCTATCATGATGAAGTATGGTCACGCAACCCCCTCGTGACCAAGACAGCATTGGAAGACCTTCATCAGTGGATTGATAAAGGCCTGAGCATTATTAATTTTATGATTCAGTGATATGTGAGCCTATGACCAAAATGCCTGCATTTGTTATTTTCACACACTTGCCTAATTGCATGCACAGTATGGTGTACTTGTATATATTGTACTATCTAATATATACCCAATAAGGAGGGTTTCAGATTAAAACATTTAAGATTTTTTTTACTTATAACGTCCAATTTCAGATTTAATTTAGGATTATTTAATGTTCAAAAGTAAGTGTATTCCATATTTTATAACGACCATTGTTTATGCAATAAATTTACTGTTTTAAAGAATTTTAAACATTAATTATTGATTTTTTTTCTACCAAGTTCCATCAGTAAAGCAATAATTATAATGTAAACACTTTTATGTTTCACTAATTTCATAAAAATGAATATCACGTGATGGCACTTTTGGAGTGGAAGACAAAGATGTGATAATGGCAATGAAGTCACTGGCTGAGATGTCACATTTTCGAATCAATCTGAAACAACGTTTTTCGGTTATTCTGAAATATTTTCAGATATTTTTGGATTCATTTGAAAATTGGGAGGGGGAAAAACAAAATCCCCCATACTCCAGATAGTACGAAAAAGATTCCGTTTGTAAATTCATTTAAAAAAAAAGTGAATTGTTAAACATTGTGCGCAGTTTGTTTTTGAGGCGCGTGCCAACTGTCAGTGAGGCGCGTGCCAACACACCGTCAGCGCCAGGGGCTGGGTGCGCCTAACGCGTCGGAAGCGCCGTGCGGGAACGCGGCCACTCCGCACGCGTGGGTGGTGAGCGCGCCCCCGTGTACGCACACGGGGGCGCGTGCGCGCGTGTGACACAGGCGGTGGGGGATCGTGGCTTTTAATGAGGCACAGCTTGTAATTGTTCCCAGAGTCGTGTCGAGGGCCCGTCCCAGCGTGTGGGTCTTAGACGTGAACCTGAATGGGCCTTTGGTGTGAACGCTCGCCCGTCGCCGCTCACCCCCGTCGACGATTATCCACGCCTATGTTAAATGCAGTCCATTAACTCCGCACGATTACCGCAGCCCGGCAACAGAGGGGTCCTTCGCCATATGGCATCTCGTTATGGGATAATTTGTGCCTTTGTGCCTTTTATTGCATAATGCATGTTAGCGTGCGTAAGGAGATTGATAGTCGTGGCGGAAGCAGGTTGTAGCCCGCCGGATTTCTTTTTTTTGTGTGTAAGTGATGACATTACACGCCCAAATTGTTATTGCTAATAGTTTAACCCCTGCTAATGAATTAAATGATATATATCTGCGTGCATCCACGTGCCTGTAAGAGGCAGTATGCCGCGATCTTTTAGTGTTTGATTTGTTGGGAATTTAAAAAAAATACCAGTGTGTGTAAATATTCATTATGTGGTTATCTGAAACTGCTTCAGAGATTTTACACATTTGAAGTAAAATTAACAAGGTATTTTAAAAATATATCTGAAATATTCAATGTTGGCTGTAAAAAAAGTTAAAATTGCAGCTATTATCAGATTAATCTTAAATATTCAGCTTTAAACATGAAAATAATGTGTTTAACAGAATCAGCTGTGCTCAAAATAATAATTTGACTCCTGCTTTCATTGTATGTATTAAGAATGTGCTCCAAATTATTCAACATTCGTACCAAAACTTAAAAGAAAACGTCAAATGGACAAAATTGTGTTCCTGAATAGATTTAAAAGATTGTGGCTTTCATTTTTCAATCAGCTTAATGTTGGATGTGTTTATCGCAATGTGAGTGTGACATTATTTTTGTATTAATTTTATTTCAATAGGCAAATGTGTCTGTGGGATGTAAGCGATGGGCGCTGTGTGGAGTTCAGGCAGCATCCGTACGTACATACAGAAATGCATGTAAGTATTCACTTATTTTTTTTACGAAGCTAATAACATCCTGTACATCATTTGTTTGGCCTCTGGATGACCCAACATTTAAGTGTATTTTCCACGAAGTCACATTGCATGTAATTGATGATATCATTATTTTAGTCAGTAAATTTTGTCCGGTACAGTATTACCAAAGAAAAACATTGCCTGTAAAGTACCTGTGCACGATAATCATCCCCGAGTCATCATTTATAAGACGAGGCCATTGTCGTATGGTGTCATATCTAAAACAAATATGCTGGGAATAAGTTTGAATGCATAAATGTTTGCTTACAATCTCATATAGACGTGGTTATCGAGTTGTCTTTTTCACATGATATATTGTGCATATACATAGGAAAACGGATATATGTTATGGATGTTATACTCGAGTGCAGTGGGGTTTATACATATATGTGTGTAAAATAAATAATCGTTCTCAGCCTTGATCAATGCATGAAGGCCTCTCCAAGCCACCACCATAAACACATACACACACTACCGAAACAGTGTATGATTTTCACGAGACTTTTAATTAAATCTCGAAGAAAAAAATATAATCTAAATGTCAAAGCACTAAATCTTGACTTAAAGCGTTCGTGACTGCAGGAATTCATATTCTTGGGGTCTTTCGGTAAAGTCACGTAGATATGTCCAAAGAAAATAACAAAAGTTTTTTTGTTTTGACATTTAGATTATATTTGTGCTATTTTGTTATTTTCTTTGAACCTATCTACATGACTTTACCGAAAGACCCAAGGAATGTCAAAACACTAATTTAACAAACAAGACGACAACATTTTAGTCAAGGCGAGAAGAGATAAAATTGTACACAAAATATACATAAATATCAAAATGTAAAGTTGTCGTGCCCAAGGGGAGGTATGACGAATAGGCATTGTAGGCACGAGGTGAAAGGTTAACCATCGGTGATTGAGAAGGGAAGGAAGGGTCTTGCATTTAGATTTTAATTGGTGGAGGCAGACAGCGTTGCAGCGTAGGATCGTTCCAAACAACGGAGGCGGCAGCAGCAGAGAAGGGGCAACCAACCATGGCGCAGAGGTTGATGTGGGGATTGGAGAGGAGGCAGTGGTTTGTGAAGCGGAGAGCATCAAGCGGAGGAGAGAGATGATACCAAAGGAGGTAGCGGGGAGGGGAGCCCTGCGAAGATGGCGACGTGAATCGTGAGCTCGTGAGATTCTGCACCTTTGTTACGTCTCACGAGTATGCGCGAGTTGGGGGGCCGTCCATAAATGACGTCACGCGATTTTGGACGATTTTTTTACTCCCCCCCCCCCTCGTCACACATTGTCACAAATGTCTGACCCCCCCCCCCCCTAGGTGCGTGACGTCATTTATGGACGGCCCCTAGGCTACTCGTGGGATTTTATACCCACGACGTGGTTCGTCAGAAGTGTAAATCGGGAATTGTGCTTGCCAAGCCATGAATGCATATGTAAAGATTTTAGCAGTGGAAGAATTGGTATGAGTGGTACGCGAATAGTATTCAAATGAAATAAATAGTGTTTTAATCGCAACAAATTCATTAAAATGTATTAAAAATCCTGACTATATTTCTGTCAGGCAGAATCTATTCCCCTTCCATTAAATGTTTGTGCACTTCCAGAATGTTTGAGATGAGATGGTGATCTAAGTCACTTATTGTCCCAACGTAAAGAGTGCTATATCAAAAGCAAATAAATATGATTACTCAATCGCAATCCCATTCGCCAAGTTTTAGAATTATTATTTAATTACGCACATTAATCGGCACCTGAAATCATAATGGCGGGAGATTGTGAGAATTTCTATTAAAAAATTTGTCTACATTCTTGCAGTGCCTCGGGCGAGTCAAGCCTGCTCTTTCCCCCGTAGCTCACCACCACACGGAGACCATTCCACCCTTTGCTTTGCACGGCCTTTGGATGGGTGGTCTGTCCTGCCCTTCCGCTGGCCCGGGGCAGGCTGCATGCCCGGTCCATGCCGGCTCTCGTTCTCTCCAGACCTGGCAGATTTTTGTTTGCGTGCAGGGAGAGCGTGCAATCCATGGGGCGGGCTTTTCCTACCAGAGCACACAGATGGTCAAGATTGAGCCGGGGCGCGGCGCGTGCGAGGCTGCTACGTCGTGGCCTCCAAAAGGGGCTTTGGTAGAAGCAACGTGGCACGTGAAAGGGCACGAGAGCCCTCACAAACTTATGGGGGGAAGGGGGACAGGCGGTTGTTGTGGCTTAGTCACGCGAGATGGAATTGGCAGCAAATTAGATTTTTTTTTTACGCTAAAAACCCACGCCGGATTCTCTGGACATGGCGTTCCTAGCAAACGAGCCCTGGGGCTCAACTTTCCTGCATTGCCTCAAGCGAGGCAAGCCCAGGCTGTGGTCGCCCTCTCTTGGGGGTGTGGGCCACGAGCTTCCGCAGTGGCCGGAGTGCGTGACCCTGCCAGGCAGGTGGGCTCATGCGGCCAGGTGTCTAGGCTTTGCAGCAGTGCTAGAGAAACTTTGTTGTGCTCCATCTTATTGCCCAAGTAACACATTTGAAAATTACCCGCAACTAAATTCAAAATATAAAAACGTACTTTGCTTAATGCTTGCGTTGGTCACCCCCTTAACAGAGATTCATGATTATCAAAAGGCGATGACTTTACACGTTAAGTTTAGTTTCAGATTTTTCCAATTGTTAAATTAAATGTTTTTTGGTTCACTGATCTCGGTGTGTGGTTCACCGTTGTTAGCTGACCACCTGCGCGCTCTCCGCAGTACTACAAGTGCCCGTACGGCTCGGCGGACGAGGGCTGGCTGCTCTGCTCGGGCTGCTACAGCGACGTCCTCATCCTGGACGCGCTCACCCTCAAGGTCCTGGGATCGCTGGCGTCCAAGGACGCACCCAATTGGATGGCCACCATAAGTGTCCTTAGGTGCACAAGAACGCTCGGTATGTACCTCATCTGACCTTTATAAAACATGAAATAATTATTGTTCCTTTGGTTCTTTCAAAACTGTTGTTTTTGTAAATGAAATATTTGTTCCGACTAATGTGGTTCTGTTTATTTCGTGTTGATTTATACATTTAAAGTGAGAGAGTTGTTTTTGGTGGTATTTGTCCTCTAATACAATCTGTTTTGCGCTGTGTTATGATTTCACTTTGTCCTAGTCAATAAGCAAGTCATGGTTTGTGGGTATTTTTCTGCTTTGTTTGTGAGCTGTTGGCCATATAGGTAGAACGGAGCCCAAGCAGCGCTTCCTTTTCAATTTTCAATTTATCCGGTTTTCTTTTTCATCAAAGTCCTGTTTTGTGCCCGATAAGTATTATCCACTTGTCTTCCATTAAGACCATTGAAACTGCAACAGGATTGCACACAACCCGTCACTTGACCTTGCCTGCTGGATACCGTGAATGGTTTCGAGAAGTTGGTGGGAAAATGTTAAGCTGTTAGCAACGAAGGCCACGTTTAAATGCAGGCTTGAGGATGCTGTTGATTTCTCTGAGAAGCTTTCCTGCAGCAATTTTCCTTCTCAAACTTGTCCATACTACATTTGAACAGCAGTTGATTATGAATATTTTTTTTTAAATGACATTCTGAATAGAAGACTCAACAGGCTCCGCTATATATTTTAGCGAATGCTTTTGTAATTTTTTTCGCTCGAAAAAAAACGGCCTTTTATTACGAGAACAATTTATTCTATTGCTGTGGATTATAAAACGTTAAACATTATTTCAAATGTTGATGCAATGGGTTTCGGTCTTCATTCATGGTATTTCAGTATTCTTTATCTGGCATTTTGGGGGAAAAACTGGGGCTTTGACACAATGCTTAGCATTTTTTTAGCTGATGCTTCCACCTATGTTTTCGATATTCCAAAAAATAAAGTAAAACAAAATACGCCGTTATAGATTTGAAAAATAGAGTGACCACTATTCAACTACCATCTGACTAGTTGTTTAGGTATTTGTAGAGATTATCACTGGAACGCACAAGCAGGTTCCTACTAATCAATGGGACGGCTACTCCTCTTATCCACAAAGTTTCATGTCAATGCCCCTCTTCTTGACCTCATTGTGGTCAATCCACCGCTGGATAGAGACTTCCCTTCACTGTTTCAGTCATGGGGTTGTTACGACCATGCTTCACCTGGTGAGTGATGGTGAAGTTATCGCTCGCCACTGGTGCTAGCCGTGACTGGGAATTCAACTGGGGTCACTGGGTTCACAGTGCAGTGTTGCTAATGACCACTCCACCACACAATATTTGTACGTGCGTTAATTTTAAAACAGTTTTTAAAAAATATATATATATAAAATGGAATTTCAAAATAGTTGACTGCTCATTTTCACACTGAGTTGTCTATAGCCCTGAGCCAGGCATGTAAACTCCACATTCCCTCGGTGGAGGATAACAACTGGTACGGCATCAACTGATGTATGGTCTGTTTTAGAATAATGCTTCCTTACCCTTACCTTAGACCTCTATAATTCGATGGACTTATCAAAATCTTAAAGAAAAATCCACTCTAAGTTTGCAATGAGAAGGAAATCATGATAAAGAATGTCTTGTGGGACCTTTTTGCCAGTATCAAAGTATGAAAATATAAGAATAGGTTTTAGCCTTTCTGGCAACAAAACAGGTGTTAAGATATTCAACCACCAAATAGAAACCTTTGCAAGGAATCAAGTCACTGCATTAACCACACATACTTGTGGTGAACATGCAAACAAACATTATCTGAAAATAAATGCCATTGTCTTTGAAACTGATTGGCCTACACCAGAGACAGCCTTCTTTAGGGCCTAGTCTCACCAGTGCCAGACCAGAGAACGCAAAAGGCCTTGCAAAAGGGTAAAACCTATTCTTATTTTTCGTAGAATGTATTGTGATATGTTTTTTTGACAGCTGAACATTATGCTTATTCACCATTTCTCAAACGACATCACCTCTCTTTCATTCCTAGTTTTAGCGTTATTTTTTTTTTACAAATGAATGTTTAGATTACAGATTATTTTACATTAAGTGGATAAGAAAGCTTCGGTACATGCCTTGTTTTGCTGTTTATGATGGGTATTATGAATTGTAGTTTGTTTTTTACATTGACGCTTGGGCAGTTCTACAAATGAGGAACCTCAGAGTAAACATTTCAACATTATTCTAAGAATCCACATAGTTCAAGATTAATTGTTTTAACCATTTGGGAACTCAAGAGACTAGGATGAGTCTCATTTACAAGAGTGAGACGTGTCGCAAAAATTACAAATGCAAAGCAAACAAAACAAAGTAGAGCGATGAAATAAAGAGCAATCAGTGTAAAAACAAAAACACTCGTGTCTCACGAGGAATCGGAGATATTGCAAACATTAATCAACGTGAAATCAAAGATGCATTTTTAATTCCCTGTAGCGCAAATCGGTTATATGGAAGGTACTTATTTATCGCTTTAGAAATATTACTTATTTATGGAACATATCAATAGGATGACACATGGAAGAAGGCACTTGCACCATCACGATCTCAGCATGGACGATGGTCATTATGTCTGAATATATCCGACTCTGTGATATTCTAAAGAGTATTTCTCTCTTTTCAAGATAGGTGGAGATTTTAGTTTTCATTAGAGTCCTAATTGGTTGATATGCTATGTCCAAGTCAATGCGACTCCATGATTATTAAATTGATTACATAAGAGCCCCTTTTTTCAAATCCACTGCTGGATGAGGACCTCCCCATGCCTTCTGGTGTACAGGGATAGCTGGCACTGGGGGGGGGGGGGAGCGGTCTGCTCGAATATGTAGACATGAGTTAATCTCATGAAATGCATCACCACGCTGCATCCACGTGTGTGTGTGATGTTTGTATCTCCCCAGAGGACATTGTGGTCGGGGTCTCAGTGGCTGGCTTGCTGAAGGTTTGGAATCTAAGCACTGTTCTCAACAACATTCAGGTTTGACCCAATTGTGTTTTCACATCATTAAACTTTGTTAGTTTTTTATTGTGTGTCTATTTATCGAGTCAATTTTTTTAATCTGAGATTGATTTTAAGGCTGTAAGTGATACGTTCTAGAAGTCAGGGATAGCAGGAGTTGCCCTGGGATCATCCAAAATGATCCGTGTGCTGTGTTCACTTTGAGTGCAACATCCTGGGGTGTGTGGCACTTTACACGCGTATACTGTATGTCTGTATGTTACATTTATTTTGCACCGTACATAGCCAACTGTGCTACTCGGAGGTGCGGGGGATGGACAACAAACTAAACACAAAAAGCAGTTCCAAAGAAATGAGTTCTCAATGTAGATTTCGTTGGTCAGTCATCACTATTCTATCCCTGCTGCCATGGTTATTGTTCCCATGACCTTCGCACGTTAATTCCGGCCCGCTGACTGTTCTTATTCATCCTCACCGCGTTCAACCACCACCACCACCGCACTGCAGAGTCACCACACTGCTCTTTCTGCTTCTTCCCTTGCACTGCTCCACTTTGGAGGTATATCCCAACTTTTGTTTTCACCAAGTTTTGGGTTGCACACTGCGCTCTGAACCTGGTGATCTGCGTTTGATTTCTGGCCACAGCATCTACCCTTCCCACCCCCTCCTTCACCAACCCACAATGTGTGCATACACGCAGCCATTCTTGTCAGTCCACTGGTGGATGAGGACCTCCCCACGCTGTGTAGGGAGGCCATGGTGGTGAGATGTTAACTACCTCGCCTGGTATACAAGAGGTCGTGGGTTTGATCCTGACCCTGACGCCTGCATATTTTGCGTTTGTCGTAGTTAAATCTGACCACAGAGGCAACTGCCTCTTTCCGCACCGTAGCAGTGAGGTGGATTGCAGCGGTGGATGGCGGTGGATGAATGTGGTTTGCATTTCTAAGGACTCGGAGCCGGTGTTTGAGAAGGAGTCGATGGCGGTGGATGGCCTGGATGCTCAGGCCGTCGCGTTCTGCACCTACACCCAGAGCACCTTGCTGCTCGTCTGCTCACACATCTGGAAGGTGATTCCCTCACAGAAGCCTCTCACCTCATCATCATCCCACTCCACTACAGTAATGTTTAACCGTTGATGAGTGCACTCGGATTAGTTTTAACAAGTCCCCAATGCTCTAATCAGTAGAGAAAATAAGTGAAAATTGAACACGAGCACCAAGGGGCCATTTCCGATCCACTGCACGATTGTACTTCAATTGCAGCGACACAGTTTGCAGCATTGGATGTATGTGTGTGTATGTTGAACTTCTTTCGCACCGTACGTAGCCAACCATGCTCATCGGAGGCGTGAGCATTTCGTGGTATTAGTATAAATTATGGCGTCCTCTGGTCTATCACCGTTTGAGACACAGCTCAAAAGAATGCTGTCTCTGGTGTGGACCAATCCGTTTCAAAGACAATGCATATATTATCAGTGTGTTTTTTTTTTGCATTCTGACCACAAGTATTGTGGTTAATGCAGACATGATTCCTTGTAAACGGTTTCAGTTTGGTGTTTTAACATCTCAGCACCTGTTTTGTTACTCATTGGTTTTTTCGGTAAAGTCACGTATGTAGAAATACCACAAAATTATATTAAAACAAATCAATCACGACGTTTCGACCGCAACACAAGCGATCTTCATCAGGTGTAAAAAACAAAGACCGAGGGAGCATATAGGGTGACATCAACGCAACACACAGAGAGCGCTAAACTGCACGGAGGTAAATGCAACAAGAAGATGAGAGACGAGAATTCAACAAACCTAAAAAAAAATTACGTGATGCAAAACCAGTCGGCCAACGACACAGTTAGACACTTGCCTGGCGGACCACGAATTTCAGAAGAGTGCTAAATTTCGTGTTCATCCTCTGGGTTGAACATACCAGCATGGACAGAGTGAACAAATACGAGGTACAAGATAGCAGAAATACAAATACAGGGACACCAAGAGGCAAGAAGAGGAAAGACGGACAGAGAAGCAAGAAAAAGGGGCCGGAGGGATGAACAGACAGAGGCTTAAAATAAGCAGTAGAGGTGGGGGGAGGGGCTGAAGAGAGCAAGGGGGCACGGCAGCAGCAGAAGAGGGGGAGGGGTAGGAGAGAGCAAGGGACGCAATAATTTTAGGACAGAATTGTAAAGGTGACTTCCCCGTAGAAGTGTGTTAATAAAGAATTAAAGCTTTCGTGACTGCATAAATTACTCATTGTTTTTTTTTGTAAAGTCACGTATGTTTTGTTGCCAGAAAAAAAGCGAAAACCTATTCTCATATTTTGGCTTCTGGCAAAGGAAGTCCCATGATGATGCAGCCTGCTTGAGTGGTTTACCTTGCACAGGAAGTTGACGGTGAATTATTACCATCAAGACACCACGCGTGGTGATAGTGGTGACGATGCTTCACGTGTGCGGTACACGCCTCCTGCAGGTTCTTAGCCTGGAGAACTTCTGTGCACGGTGCTGCATGCCAAGGACAGCCGATGGGCCCTGGACCGGGGGTGATTTTTTGGCTGCAAACAAGGTGCTCGTATGGACCTCGCGAGGCCAAGGTTACATCTACAAGCTTCCGGACAGGTGCTTCTCCGCCCTCATCCGTCTCAGTCCATTTACTCGGAGCACTTACAGTGCGATGCACATCGCTGCAATAAATGCACAATGACCTCAATTGGTGGTGAAGGTACCACTGTTATGCGTTACATTGGCTCTCACAATACGGATATTCTGCAGTCCACGCAGACAATAATGTTTCTGAGAATAGGTTTACCCCTTTTTTATGGCAACAAAACTGGTGTTAAGATGTTAAAACACCAAACTGAAACCTTTTAGAAGGAGTCATGTCTGCATTAGCCACAATACTTGTGGTCAGAATGCAAACAAAAAAGTACTCTGATAATATATGCATTGTTTTTTAAACTGATTGGTTCACACCGAGACAGTTTTCTTTCTTTTTTCTTATCAGTTTCAAAGACAACGCCACATATATTATCAGAGTACGTTTTTTGTTTGCATTCTGACCACAAGTATTGTGGTTAATGCAGACATGATTCCTTGTAAAAGGTTTCAGTTTGGTGTTTTAACATCTTAACACTTTTTTTTGCCAGAAAAAAGGGGAAAACCTATTCTCATATTTTGGTACTGGCAAGGAGGTCCCATGATGTAAATAATGTTTCTATATATAAAATAACCTCTACAATTAAAATGCGGTATTCAGATAATGCATGCCGTGCATCTTTCTATCCAGAACTAACACTCAGCATAATATTACCAACTTTTGAGGCAGAGCAACTTTAACACAAAATAGACTATAATCTATATGACTTAAAACTCATATGTAAAATGTAATGTCCTTTTTTGTCATCTGACCTTTTGGCCTTCCCACACCAATGTCCCCATATGCCTGTCGGTCAATGGCGAGAACACACACTTCGTTTTACATACCAAGATTTTATTCACTATCTTAGATATTTTTTTACCAGATACAATCGTAGTTATTTGCTATATTGAATTATGTAAATTTGTTATTGACTCTTTTAGTTGCATTCAGTCACAGCATGCAATGAGGAAATTAGTCACGTGTCCTGGGCACGTGCCTATAAACATCTCAACAAAACTTCACACGTGATAGGAAGTAGCCAAGACCCAGGCCTAGGTGTTTCGACCTGTGTCCAGCATCATAGCAAAGTGAAGCTTGACCAATGGAATTGTTTTGTCCATGAGACGTGCTGTGCGCTTGGTGTTTTTCACAAACTTGCAGGCGACACGTTGAGCTGAAAAAGTGCATTGGTCGCAAGCTATTGTTCACACCCCAGATGTTAACATTGTGCACTTTTACTTTGATGTCTTTTCAGTCCAAAGCAGATGACAGACTGCAGCTCCTTGAACCACGAGGCCCCACTACTGCTCTACATTCTTGAAGACACACTCCTGGAGGTAGGGTCTCTGAGGAGTACCGAACCTCTTGTGTGTGCGTGTACCATGGTTAGCTCACTGCAAAGCCGAAGTTCATTCCTGCTCACCACCAACGTTAGTGGCGAACTTACGAGTCGTCCTGGACCTTTCCCTAGGTCCACTCAGCCCGAATCAGTACCTGGAGACAAAGGCGGCCGGGCGTGATGCTCGCCACACCACTTCCTCGTGTACTGCGCCGGCCTTCGCAAGTGATCGTTAATAGCACGTGTGTGTCACATTAGGAATGGACCACTCTTTTAATTAGTTCCTCGTGCAGCAAGGGAATAAAGTGTGGTTTTGTGAAGGTCCTTTTGTGTTGTGCAGTACATCAATGCACGTGTGTACACCAGCATGCTATGACTGAGTTGGGCCTGTGGGTGGCTGGCAGGGTTATTGATGAACCGGACTGGTACACCAGTCACGTGGTTAATGGCGACTCGGTTGAAGATTGCTGTGTGTGACACCACGTGCTGTTGCATTCTACAGGTAAAGGACCCAAAGATTGTTTTTGATCGTTCTAGACTTGTTCTAGACTTCAAGCTTGCCTTTGAATTGTTAGTTTGTGATATATTAAATAGGAGGGGTTTTAGCACCGTGTACTGTAAAGGATGACGTACTGTAGTTAATACTTGTAATTCTCTAACCCTAATACTGTTTATTCTATAACCATGCCCATGCACCCAGAGTATGACTACTTGCAATGCTATTGAGAATAGAACACATGTACAGTAGTAAGTTGTACAATGGTGACAAGTACAGTACGTATATTGTCCACATACAGCACAGGTAATGGGTGTAAGATAGCGATATAAGTGGATGGTATAGATAGACATACAGCTTAGGATTAAAGTAGAATAGTGAAGTGCAAGGGTTATTGTCAAAGACAAACATGGTTGATCAGTAGTAGAATTGGGTTTAAGATAAAAGTATTGATTAACCGGACTGGTACACTAGTCACGTGGTTAATGGCGACTCGGTTGAGGATTGCTGTGTGTGACACCACGTGCTGTTCCTTTTTTCAGATTTACACTATAAATGTGTTTGCCCTCGATTTGGGGCACCTGCCCACGTCCTTCATTTCGAGTGTGCAACTCTTGCCCCAACAGTTTAAAAGGCTATACGGGGGATCTGTGTATGTACACAAGCATGTGATTGTTACAACACAGTAGTTAGGAGATACCTTTCTATAAACCTATGTGAACACTTTAATGCACATCCATTAACCTTAGCAGCAAGCCATTACACGAACCCGTACTTCTAATTGTAATTCTGAATGCCTGGAATTCGAGAATTCACTCTTAAAAGTTTAGCGCTGCAGAGGATGAAATTTGATAGAATCTCAAATTCCTCGTCAGAAGAATGCGAGGATCTTAATCAAAACGTCTGAAGCCACAGAACAAACCCAATGGGCTTAGTCAAACTAGTTTAGGGCAGAACTCAGCCTTATTCAGCCTCATTATTCGTGAACACTGTATTGTCATGAACTGAGGCTTGAGCACCGTAAGCTTGAGGTTGATGGTGGTGTAATAGTTGATCGTTGCTGCGTTGTCATTGCGGCTGCCTTAGGTTGCCACGCCGAGAGGCTGAGACAGGTGCCTCCATCACCTCCGATTAGCACGGTTGGCTACGTAAGGTGCAAACAAAGTTCAACGTACATATGACAACTGCTAAACAAATGCAATTCACTCTGCTGTATTGTCGATGCACATCATGTTATTTGATTGGTACAAATATATGTCTTTAGTTTTTATATGTTTCTCATTTGCAAAACCTGTTGACAATCTCTTAGCTAACGCCATCTAAGCAAGCTCGGTAAGAACCTCCCTTCTAAAAGGCCCCTTCTTTGCCGTGCCAGCAAATGGCACTCATCTGCAGCTGGATATTTCATGAGCCATTTTGAAAAGCTTGGGTTTCTGATTTGCGGAACGATTTTCGTGAGCTCTCATTTTTTGGAGCAGGAACGTGTCAACAAACCACAGGCACGTGGACTCCAGCGTCGCCTGTGATGGCAAAGATGCATTCAAGTCCACTGCCACCAGAGACTAATGCTGCCCCAGCAGAATCAGTGCATGGCCAAATTTGATGAGGATTTGAGATGCTGCGCAGCGCTTTTGTTGTATTATTTATCACAGGAGTTGGCACAACAGGTGAATATATAAATGCACAGCGCGGCCTGGTTTTGGTTCGATACCAATCGATGGCAGCAGTGCTTTTTTGTTTCTTTGAATGCAACGGGAGGTGATGCAGGATTATAGTTTTAATTGACCACTTCATAGGCACTTTGGATGTAGTGTGTGTGTGTGCTTTTCATTATGTCCAGCCACCTGTGAAGGAAAGGGTTTCATGAAATGAGTTTTGAGTGTGTCTGTGGGTAGTAGAAGTGCGGTGGATAGCACACTGAGCTGTACTCCCTGTGAGCATAGTTTGATTTCTGGCCATTCACATCAAAGGCGGTTGTTATCTGAAGTTAGCCCATGATTCCGCTCAGTAAAGGTGCAGCCCTGCGATTTCTTGCTCACGCCACTGCTCGTGTAAGGATCTCCAGTAGAGCGAGCTCGAGAGTCTTCCTGTTGAGGGTATTTGGCCTACTTTTCCATTCTGGGCAGATGTCTTGGAAGAGGTGGGAATATACCCACACTTTACCCCACCGTACACGACCTGCTGATTGACCTAACTGCGCTGTACCCATTTACACTGCTGGCTGGACATAGGCGGTGGGAGATTTAAGAATCTTGCACCTTTGTTTCAACTGCCGCGTCGGGAGATTGGACTGTCGCCCTCTGGATTACAAGGCCGGCGCGATAACGGTGACACGACGGCATCATCAACTTTTGTGCGCTCGGCCTACAATGGGCACACCTGGTGCATTGCGCCGGGATCACCGTTCGGGAGACAAGGACAACCTCCCTACATGATTATCGGTCTTTCTCGGTGCTCGCTAACTGCACGGTGCGAAAGAAATTCGACATGCATACGTACCTTTTTCACAGCAGCCTGTCCGATCTCGGTGTGCCATTGTCTGAGAGCGGGTATCGAGCAACGCCGTGATGCGACGGATTAAGGCGAAGCGTGACGATTGCATCGACCCAAGCTCGGTTTCTGGCCGGATGCGTCACCGTCGATTGATGTGAAGCACACCTGGTGTGCGCTTCCCCCGTGTTGATTCAGAGGATAGAATGATACCAGCTGCGGATTTGAACTGCAGTGCAGAGGACCGGCAAAGGTACTGGCCTCAATCATTTGGTGTTGCATATAACGGGTACTTGTTAAAATGTCCTTTTTAAATAGTTTGACCAGGGTTGAAAAATAAGTTATATTTTTGCGTGTTCGTGCGTGATCAATAGGGGTCTTCGTCTTTGTATGTTTGTACACGTGTACACGTGTGTGTGTGTGTGAGGCAGGGTATTCCAGTGCTCTGTGATTCCAGGAACCATAGACTGTTTCTTGGCAAAACTCCGTGGCACTTGGTATCTTAACCTGTGCTGATTCTCTCGGTCATCTCTGCCTTGTCTTGTTACCGCAGGTAGTGTGTGAGCGTTGCTCTCGGGAGATCGTGGCACTGCATGATGCTGGCCATACTAGCCTTGTGTATTCCGTGAGTGTGCATTTGTATGTGTGTTCACGTGTGTCAATTTTTTTGGGGGGCGAGGGAAAGTAAAGCGGTTAGTGCGCTGCGCTCCGAACCCAACGACCCAAGTTCAATTCCTGCTCACGGCCAACACCAGTGACGATTATCTGAACTAGTCCTGGGCCTCCCCTAGGTCGAATAAGCCTTAAAAAAGGGAATACCTGGTGTTCGCTAATAGCACTTTCTCCTACAGTCTGTTAAGGCTATAAGGAGAATCTTTGTCTTTGTGTTATGTTTTAGTCAGTCGTTTGCCACTCTGAACCCACCGACCTGAGCTTGATTGCGAGCCACGAGTAACATCAGCCACGGGCGATATCTGAAACGGTTTCTGGATCCCCACTTCACCAAGCCACACTGACCGGCGTGGTGAAGTATGGTCAAACAACCCCTATGACTGAAACAGCGTGGGGAGGGCTATATGCAGCAAAGCACATCCTCAGTTAATGGACTAATTTTTTTTGCTTGAGTTTACGTGACAAACCTTACCAATCAGCTGTGTCGGGTGGTGGCGGGTTTAATGACGCGTTCATATATTTACGCGATCTAACCCAAAAAACCTCTATTATGGTGTTCTAGCTTGGTCAACATTACTTTACCCGGCATAACTTGGTGTGTTCTTCAATTCTCACGCGTGGAGGAGCGAACGCGCTGCATCGACGACGGCGGTCGGCGCCTGCTGTGCCCTGTCAGCGGATGTCTCGTCGAGGAAGGAAATCGTGGTGGACCCACGAGGTGAAGTGATCAGCAGGAGGTCGGGGGGCCTCCAGTTGTCCCCCCCCAGCAGGGACACGAAAGCATTCACGGCCACCAAGGCACAGAGAGATATATACGTTTTAAAATTTCATGTTCAAACATACTCGGCTGCCCGAGGCAATATCGTGTTCGTTGCTCTTCTCAACCAGAGCAAAGAGAAGAGTCTGCCACTAGAAACAAAGGCGGTGGAGTTAAATATATTTAACTTTACTAGTCGGAGGAATAAGGCCACTTCACGTCAGTAATTTAAACAGTCGCCGCGGTGTGGAACACTTCATCCGGGTTATTATCTTAACAATTGGCCAACATTTGTTACGATAAGATTTTGGGTGTGGGTCGTTGATAAGTGACACGAGCAGAGTACAGTCTTGTGCTGCTCAAGGGCATATTATAGGGCATCAGCTGACAACCCTGGCTAGACCGGTTGATTATGGTGTCATGTCTTGTGTGAATTTAAACTGTTGTACTGTGTTTAATGGTAGATTCTTAAACAACATGAAAGATTTCTATTTCTCACGGAGCCACTTTGCACAGATTGCGTGATAATTGGAGCTGCCTGGTACTTTTTTTTGCTGGGAGTTACCACGTGTTGGTATTTGTC